GCAGCCCCCTCTCCCGAGCTCCGCGGACCCCTCCCCGCCCCCACGGGGCGGAGGGATGGAGCGCGCTCTGCGAGAACCCCGGCCCTTCCCGGAGCCCCAGGCCCGCCCAGCCCCGCCGAGGCCGGTTGCGGTGGGGGCAGGCGCAGCCCGTCCCCGCGCAGCCCGCCTGGCCCTTGGCATCTTTGCAAACCCTTCCAAAAAAATAAATAAATAAATAAACACCCCCCCCCCACACACACACACACAACCCCAGATTAGACTGGAACGCGCGCTACAATAACCGGGGTGGCTACGCAGGAAGCAATCCTGCAAGGGTCCGTGTGTAAGGCGGCAGCTTCCCGGCCACGCTGCCTTCTCCCGGGCCTCGATTTCCCGGCCACGCCGGAGAGTCCGCTGCAGCCCAGGACTGACAGGTCCCGCGCGGGGCAGTCACTGGGGCCTCGTCCCATCCTAGTCCAGGGGCTCGCCAGCCTACAAAAGGTGCGACCTCACGCGTACGCAGAGCGCACACATGCACGGCCGGGAAGGCTGCGAACAATGCGCCGGGCGGCCCGCGCCAGCGAGAGCGCGGCGCGCCGGGGGACAGGGGACAGGGGACGCAGGCGGGGGCCGCACGGAGGACCCGCGGGCCGCGCGCAACGCTGGACACCTTACTTCCTGCTTCCCCGCCCGCGGCCAGCCCGGCTTTGCGGAGGGATATCTCTCCCCTCCTCTGTCCCTCTCCTCCCTTCCCCCGCCTCTCCCCTTTTTTGCTCTCGCTCCCCCCACCTCACCCCGCCTTTCTCCTTTTGCAAGAAAATAATTTGACAGTCGATTTGCTGACAGGGGAGGAATTTGCATCCTGGATTTAAAAAAAAAGGCCGAGAGGAGCTTGGGAACGGTTGCTAGGGGTGGGTAATGGGTGAAAAAGGAGGGGGTGCCGAGGCTCGGCTAAGGGAGGGGGCGAGGGTGGGGAGCCATGCAAAAGGTAAGGCCAGGTTGCCACTGCTCGGCCCCGAGTGGGCTGCGGCCGGGGGAGGGGCGAGAGATGCATATGTATTTCGGGCTCCCCAGCACACCCCCTTCCCTCCCAGCGATGGCTGAGGCGGTGCAGGCAGACGGGGAGTAAGTTTCCTGAAGGGGCGGGCGGCTGCACGCGCGCAGCCCGGCGCAGCGAATTTGCACCGGGGAGGGAGAGTGGTGGATGCGGAGAGTTTAGAGTTGCTGGCTGCGGAGGGCAGGAGGGGAGCCGGGCCGGGAACGGGGGCTGGCGGGCGCTATAGCTGGGAGTAAGTTTCCAAGATCAGGAGAGCCTGCACGCTAGCTCGCTCGTAAGTTTCTGGCGGGGGAGGGAGCAGCAGAGGGAGGGGTGCATGCATATAGAAGGGGGAGGGGGGAGCAGATTTCCTGCGGGGAGGCTGAATGCATATGGAGAGATTTCCTGGAGGGAGGGTGGAGGCGTAGACGGGCCGAGTAAGTTTCTTGCAGGGGTGGTGGCGGAGATGGTGGGTGGGTGCTTTGCAAACCCTGCGCTTCCCACTGGGAGAGGGGGAGCACGCTGTTGGGGGTGGGGTGGGGTGTGAGGGGCCAGGTTCCCTGCTGAGGAGAGGGGCTTGCATCTGGGGAGTATGTTTCCTGGCGGAGCGATATTTGTTTACAGGCTGAGGGCAGTACTGGGAGTGAGTAGCTCTGCGAGAAGGCGGCTGACATAAATTAATATTGAAATTACTCCATCAGCGCCACCGGTCCCCCAGCGCACCCCCCAAGCAGAGACTGGGCTTCCTGTCGTTTTACCATGCACTTGTTGCAGAAACAGCCAAGGTAGGCAAGAAGCTTATTACGTTTCATTTAAAAAAATATTAGTTGGGGGGATGCTCTGGGAGAAGACAGGGTGGGGTGGGCTAGGGAGGGAAGAGTGGGGCACCGGGCAGGACAAGTCTCCCTCCACCCCTTTACTTTCCGGGTGTGAGTAGGGCCTTGCCCTGCGTCCCTTCTTCCCGGTTCCCTCTGGGGGCTGCAGAGCATCCCAGCAAAGGGGGAGGGGGAGGTGGGCGCTGTAATTGGCCACCACGCCTGCGAGGGTGCTGGGGGTGGGCTTGCCCTGGAAGACGGGGACGTTATAAAGCCTTCATTCTTCCAGCTCAGAAACCGCAGGACCCTAGGGATGTGCCTTTTGGGGTTTTTGACATGATGCATGTGTGCCTGTGTATGTGCCCGCAGGCGCTGTGGGGGCTGGGCACTCCCCAGAAGTTAGTGTGGCCACCCGGCTGGGAGAACGTGGAAGGGGACGAACTTGCCCCTGTATTCCCCAACTTCACTATGGGAGACTGGGAAGTTCCTGCTGGTGGTCTGAAGAAGGAGGTTTTGCAAACAAAACAAAATCACTCATTCACTGGGGAGGCGGAGAGCACCTGGCAGGCAGCCTCTGGCCAGCGCTGGGCTGGAGCATGTGCGTCTGCCATCCGTGGGTTCAAAAAGCCCTCTGGTTCCTCTGTGTGCCTTCCACCGGCCTGTTGGAGCCGGCTTCGTGGAAACTCTGCCCCAGACGAGTCGCTGCTTGGCAAGCGAACACACTGAAGCCCTTGCTCACAGCGCGGCCTGGGCTGTCTTGGGGAGTGGCTCAGGTTTAGGAATGACCTGCTCCTGGCATGGCCCGAGCAGGCCCAGGGGGCGAGCTTTACGAGAGGGGTGTGAAGTTGTTTCAGTCGGTGCCAACCTTGTGTATCTTCAGCCTTTCAGGAAAGGGGTTTGGAGAGAGAAAGTGTGGTTCTGCTGCCTGCTGGAAGGATAGCTAAGGGGTGCGCTCAGTACTTAACCAGTTAACCAGCGGTCTTTGCCTCTCCTGGCCTCTGATTCCTTGGCCTCCAGCCTACTGGTTTCTGCAGAAGGGTTGTAGGTCTTGGCTGTCAGGGTGCCTTGATGGTGCTGGGAGTTTAACTTTGCCAGGATAATTTTAGCACCAGGCAGTTCAGCCCGGAGATGTTCAGTAGGGTTAGGGAGTAAACACCGAACGGTGGGGTTAACTAGAATTGGTTAAGCTTTCCCCAGTGTGTGCGGGAGAGAAATGGGCTAAAAAAAGGCAACCGTTCCTGATGGACAGTGCTTTTTTTTTTTTTCTTTCTCTTTCCTGTTATCAGATTTCCAGATTGAGAGGTAGATATTCGGCAATTTGAGTTGAGTTTGCTGGGAATTAAATATTATTGTTACTTATCAAATGTCTCTACCTAGGCGTTAGTTAAACAAATTAGCTATTATTTTTAACCGGTGAAAATCAGAGTCTGCTTGGTATAATACGCTGGGAGGACAAATAAAATCTTTAGGTGTGTTTATCTCAGGGTGGAATTATTTACGTGCCTAGCCTCGAAGCCGAGAGCAGTCATTCAGCTTTTTTCCTTATATTTAGAGATTTATTTTATTGTGTTGCTTCGGTCATTAATCAAGTCACAGAAGCTCCCCCCCCCCACCCTTCTACCGAGAATGTTCTTGTGGTAATAGAGGTTGGAAGGCCCATGAATCATAATTCATTCTTTTTAAAATATTGTGATTGTCAGGATTTGATTTATAGGAATTGATACTGGGGTGACACACCTCTCAGGGCCCCACCCTTTTAGGCATGTCCATTTTTGCCAGTGGATTGTGTGGAAGCCAGCTTGATGTCTCAGAAAGAGTGTTTCTCTTATGCTTTATGAGCATTTGCGAAGATTAATTCTGCAGGTTCCATGGTGAACATGGGTCTTTTCACAGCTTGGTAAGCAGGCTTCCACATAGCAGGCATGTGTTAACATCACATAGCGGGGATGCGAGCTCGCTGTGAAAACAGTTGTTCTGTGAACTGTGTAAAAAGTACTGTTTTGCCTCCCTTCACTCGCTTGGGCTTGTGGTTTTTTGTTGAGTTAGGAGCTTAAACTGTAAAGAGTGGACAGATTCATTGCTGCTTATATAATAAAATGTGTGGTCACAAAAACAAAGCTGATTTATAATTTTCTTGCCCTCCTTCTCGGATGGGTGGGTTGGTCCTGGTAACCGGATGCACTGGTTTTGGGAAAAGTATAAGGATTCTCCACAGAGTCCATTACTGAAGAAGTGTTAAATTGTCTTATATTTAGTAGCTGCCTCAAATCTACAGTATTTGTGAAGTGACGAAAGACTTTTAAGGTGGTTTGATGCTCAAGGCAGGGGAAACTCACTAGAAAGAAAAATGGGGAGGGTACCAATTTCTAGCCATTTCTGCGCTTCAGATTTTTTATCTTAAAAATGCATGGTTGCTTGTGTGAGCTCCCTTCCCTCTGAAATTATGTGTCTTGGCGAGTGAGGGTCCCGGTCCCAGAGGTCTTGACAGTGTCTTCCTGGGCTAACGGCCAATTGCTTCATGAACTCGGGTGAGTTGATCAACTTCTGTTTTTGTCTTTTCTTGGAGAAAGTGGATTTGTACCTTTGAATTCCTAAAAGGGGCTCTCAAGTGGCTGGTTGCTAAACACTAAGAATTACTGGTGAAAGTGCCATCGTTTTGGGAAAAAATTATGAGCTGTACCAGTGTGTGTGTGTGTGTGTGTGTGTGTGTGTGTGTGTGTGTATGTGTGTGTGTGGTGGCGGGAGGAATCTCAGGCACCAGAAATCCTTTCAGTTCATCATGGAAGTTTCCTTTCCAGCCAGCTGGCTCACTGGCCTAATGCTTGGTCAAGTCTCAGGTTAATTGAGCTGTTATTTCTAGGCACAGGTAGCTTTGGGGAGGTAAGGGGGGAACCTGAACACCCAGGGTGGCCTTGCCCACTTTCTGCGGAGAATTCATCTGTGCGTAACTGGAGTTCGGCTGAGTGGTTGTGATGGGCTTCAATATCGATATTGTATTTCTCACTTTCAAGATACTGTATATTTTACGATGGGCATTTTTGGGGAAGGCTCTTGATGTTTTTATTGACTTTGGATGTTAGTATAGGAAGTAAGGGTCCAGACTAGTGGCTCAGGCCCTGGGCTGTGTAGGTGCATCTCGACTGTTCTGCTCCAAGAGCAGTTGAATTCGATGCATTTTATTTCTGACCTTGTAAAACCACGTGGCTGGGAGGGGATTAGAATCTGCTGGGATCTTGTGGATTAATGATACTGTAGTTGTGGATTTGTATATTGGAGGGAAACTAGTGAACTAAAGGAGAGGCTAAAACATAGTTGATTTCTTTTACAGGCAGAAGGAGACAAGAACAGCCGGGTTGTGGTTATTGGCTTGCTTTTCAACAAGGGCGCAGTGGCATTTTTAATGCATAAGATGGCCTTCATAATATGAGTTATCCCACGACTCTCTTAGTAAATGTTTTTTTCCTGGTTAAAGAAAATGTCCTACAAAAAAACCTCTGATATTTTCTAGGAATTGTAAATTTTCAGAGTAGCTGCTGTTTACCAGGCATGGTGGTATATGCCTATAATCCCAGCACTTGGGAGGCTGAAACAGGAGGATTGCTGAGAGTGCCAGGCCAGTCTGGGCTACATAGTGAGTTCAAAGGTAGGCTAAACCAGAAAGCAAAACCCTGTCTTTAAAAAAAAAAAAAAAAAGTAGCTGTTCATAGTAATTTCGATTTACTTAGGAAGTGGGTAATTGTTGGATTTTTTTCCCTCACAGAAGACAATAAGCTGGGAGTGGGCTGGGATATGCTTAGCTATTAGGCAGTTGGTTTAGCAACAATAAGGAAAAAAAAATTTTTTTATAGTGGAGAAAGAAAAAGAACCTGTTTGCCGAAGTGACAGTGATAATTGTGGGGTCGTAGAATGAGGTAACAGATATTTTCATGCTATGAGAAGCTCTGGTTTAATTACAAAAGGGAAATAAAAGGATCTTTGGTTTATGCATTCATACACTGGCAGTTGCTCTCTGAGCACCTCCTGTTTGCCAATCATCACATTAAGGGCTGGGAATCTGAGACGTGTGCTCCCCTGCCTCCCGCCTGGCCCCTGATGCTCAGTCCAGAGGCAGACTCGGAAAGCGGATGCGTTGTGCAGGGTGATCAGTGTTTCCACGAAGCCACAAGGGGCCTTGCCTAGGAGCGGGGTGAGAGGAGACAGAGCGCACCAGAGAGGAGAGGCCTGGGCAGCACAGCTCTGGCTTTGGGGGAGCTAAGCACTGAACGGGGAGTGTAGATCGGGAGTGTAGATCACGCTGCGGGGCCTCGGAAAGGCCTGGATTTTATATGCAGCACAGTGGGAAACCACTGAAAGTTTGCAGTGGGAAGCACCAGGCTCTAACTCACGTTGGAAGGAGAGTGCATTGGTGGAGGAGGGTGGAGGGGGCGGGTGTGGAGTTGGGGGACACAGAAAAGAGGCCATGGGAGCAGGTGAAGGGGAGCAGGAGGAGGGGGCATGCAGAAGAGCAGGTGGGGGAGAGGTTGGATGTTGGCCGTAGAAAGACCAGGGCTCACGTTGGGTTGGCTGGGGCATGAGAACAAGGAATGTAGGATGACTAGGGGGTTTCTGGTGTGAGCAGTTTCGGGTAGAGGGTGATGCCCTTTGTTGAGAGGAGGAAGATTGGGATAGGGAGGGATGCAATCCAGCTAAATTTGAGACGGCTGTAGATGTGAAATGGAGCTGTCAAGTCCATAGTCTGACGGAGCCTCTGGTTCCAAAAGAGCAGAGCAATCAGGCAAGAGATAAACATACAGGCGTTGGCTGGACGTAGTGTTATATGCCTGTAGTCCCAGCACTTTGGGAGGCTGAGGCAGGAGGATCACAAGTTTGAGACCAGCCTGGGCAACTAAGAGAGATCCTGTCTGCAAATAAAAATAAATTAATTAAAAGACCCGAGGACATAGCTCAATATGAAGACTGCGGGTTCAATC